AGTAATTATCGCCCTATCTCTGTCCTCTCCACATTTTCAAAAATACTAGAACGTATTATGTACAATAGATTATACAATTATCTTCATTCTAATAATTTTTTATACAACTATCAATTCGGCTTTAAAAGAAATAATTCCACAGAACATGCATTTATCCAATTTGAATGTGAAATTTCTAATTCTTTTGAAAGTCTAAATATACATTAGGTGTTTTCATTGATCTTTCGAAAGCATTCGATACTGTCGACCATGAAATTTTACTACAAAAGCTAAAATATTATAGTATAAATTGCAAAGTTATAAAATGGTTCAAAAGTTATCTATCCAACCGTAAGCAATTTGCTTTCAGCAATAATGATCATCCAAATAAATTTCTAAACATTTCATGTGGCGTTCCACAAGGTTCCATTTTGAGACCACTATTGTTCTTAATTTATATAAACGATCTAAATAAAGCCTCAAATTTAATGAGTATCGTGTTTGCTGATGACACTAACTTATTCTTTTCCGATAATGACATTTGCAAACTCTTCTATACTATGAATAATGAACTTAAAAATATATCCGAATGGTTTAAATGCAACAAACTATCTCTTAACATTAAAAAAACAAATTGGGTTCTTTTCCACTCAGTCTCTAAAAAACCTTGTTTACCCCAAAATTTGCCTAAAATTTTTATTTATGATGTTGAAATAAAAAGACATAATGTAACAAAGTTCTTAGGTGTTTTTCTTGTTGAAAACATCACATGGAAAACGCATATCGACTATATTGGTACAAAAATTTCTAAAAATATTGGAATTCTATATAAAACCAGAACTTATTTATGTAAAAAAAGTTCAACTCAACTTTATTACTCATTAATTCATAGTTATTTAAATTATGCTAATGTTGCATGGGGAAGCACTGAAAAAAGTAAGTTAAAAAGCCTTTATCGCCGTCAGAAACATGCAATCCGTTTAATAAATTTTGCGGATCGATACACTCATTCCAAACCACTTTTTATCGAACTGAAAGTTCTCAATATTTAAAAGCCTAATGTTTTTAATGTTTTGTGCTTTATGTATATGTGGAAAAATGACATATCTTTACCCGTTTTCAAAGATCTCTTTTGTTTGAAGCCAATAAATAAATATACACTTAGAAAAAATAGTTTTATATATGAGCCCTTTTGTCGAACCAATTTTAATCCGTTTTGTATTGCATATCGTGCACCTTATCTTTGGAATAAAATTGTTTTGTCCAATTTTAAAATGCATTTTACTTTTCCCGTTTATTACGTTTTATTTTGTTGATTATGTTTTAATGTAGTTTATATATACACGCTTGTAAAAGGTTCTGATGATAAGATCAGTACGATCTTCTTTCAGAAAACTTGTTTGTGCTTGTGAAAGTAATTTATTTACTACGATAACAAATGTACACTAAACATAAATATATATATATATATATATATATATATATATATATATATATATATATATATATATATATATATATATATATATATATACATATACATATATATATATATATATATATATATATATATATATATATATATATATATATATATATATATATATACATATACTATATATATATATATATATATATATATATATATATATATATATATATATATATATATATATATATACATATATATATATATATATATATATATATATATATATATATATATATATATATATATATATATATATATATATATATATATATATATATATATATATATATATATATATTTATAAAACCCTTCTTATATATAAATTTTTAAGTAGTTAAAGTTTTAAGTAGACACCTGAAGAGTTTTTTGTCTTATTTGCTATTAAAAGGAGACAATAAAAGCCAAATAATGGTGAAAAAAAAAATACTCAAAACTAAAATGTTTATTCATACCATTTATGATATTACAAGTGATTACAAGTATCACAAGTGATTAAAAATGTACAACATTAGCACTCTTGTGTGTTTAATACAAAGGGTAGACGTTAAGTAATTTTTTTTTTAATTTCACACCCATCTAAAGCTTATAAAGACAACCAGGTTTATAAAATTATTGACCTTTAAAAAAATCATTCTTGTAGTTCTCGATTTGTCGAAAATGAGCTTAAACAAATTAAATATTAATTAAAAATTCCTCCCACCAATATAAAAATACAACATAAAATAAAATAGAACTAAAATTCTCACTCTCCCTTACATTTAGCACGCAAGAGTACTACTAAATTAATATATATATATATATATATATATATATATATATATATATATATATATATATATATATATATATATATATATATATATATATATATATATATATATATATATATATATATATATATATATATATATATATATATATTTGTTAGTATCAATAATACAGTGTATATATATATATATATATATATATATATATATATATATATATATATATATATATATATATATATATATATTTAATAGTATCAATAGTATATATATTTAATAGTATCAATAACAAGGGCAAGTCTGTAATTCCACTTTTGTATGGTTCAGACTTTGTCACCTCACCAAAGACAAAGCTGAATTGTTTGCCAAGAACTTTTCATCAATATCATCTGTCACATCGTCGTAATGTTGCTTTTCTTTCTCTTTTCTACAAATACTATAATGGGCACTGCTCTAAAGAGCTAGCGTCTCTTGGGCCATCTAAAATTCATTCTCGTGTTACTCGTCATTCAATTAAGTCTCATCCTTTTTATGTTACTGTTCCTAAGTGCTCCAAAAACTCTTATTTGTCTAGTTTTTTTCCTCGAACATCAGTTCTTTGGAATTCGCTTCCTTCATCTTGCTTTCCTGATTCATATAATTTGCAATCTTTTTAGTCGTCTGTCAATCGTTATCTTGCTCTACAATCTTCATCTTTTCTCTTCCAGTAACTTCCAACACACGCATATATATATATATATATATATATATATATATATATATATATATATATACATATATATATATATATATATATATATATATATATATATATATATATATATATATATATATATATATATATATATATATATATATATATATATATATATATATATATATATATATATATAACACACACACACACACACACACACACACACACACACACACACACACACACACACACACACACACATATATATATATATATATATATATTTATATATATTTATATATATATATATACATATATATATATATATATATATATATATATATATATATATATATATATATATATATATATATATATATATATATATATATATATATATATATATATATATATATATATATATATATATATATATATATATATATATATATATATATATATATATATATATATATAATATCGTCTATATGATGAAGCATTGAAATAGGTAATACATTTTTTAAGATTCGAAAAGTTTTTATTCTGTTTATGGCCCTTTCTATGTGGATTCCTAAGTTAGCAACATCAGTAGTCTTATTGCATTTTCTAGCAGTCATTTGATTCTTTACCTATGCACCTGGTGGGATTGCTAAACTGCAATAACGAAATAATAGTTCATCTCTTATTTGAAATCCTCTGTCTGCCATCACTTCATCGTTCCTTTCCTACAGATCATAAAAACCACTGTCACTTGTAATAAATTTTTCTGATGCTCTGCCACCGTAACATTTAGATAGAAAACGTTATGTATCCGTTTGGGGCTATACCAATTAATACTTTAACAGTGTTGTGGTGCTTATAATCAGACCAAGTTACTGCTTAGTTGCAAGGGGACTATAGACGTTCATTAAATATTTCCAAACAATCAAGAATCACTCTGCACTTGTGATGCTTTGCTTTCACAGGACTCAGGCAAGTTTTTATTAATAACTTCACATGGCAGCCAAACAATAATAGCTCGTCCGAGAATGTAAGCAATAATTCTAATAAATGTGGTAAAAGTATTAGAACACAGATTTTGAATTACTAAAACGATTAGCAGTATCCTCATTTAATAACCCTAAACGCAACCTCATAGGCGTCATTAAAAAATTTTCTCTGTGTGATAACATTTACATTTAGATAAAGATTTTAGTTGCTTAGCTTCGTACGAGAATGTTTTAGACCTCTCCAATAACGAATGGAGGGTAAAAATGGTTTTAACAAACCAAAAACAACGTTAAAAATAGAAATGAAAGATATACCAGTATAAAAGTTCATTTTTTTATCATTGTTATCTTATCTCCAAGAAAATTTTTGCTTGGACTTTACTGTTTGTTTTATTTTTAACTGATTAGTAAACCTATTTACTTTACTCACATAAGAGATAAGTGAAGATTTGTATTCATAAGAAGTACATTTATTAGGTAGTGGTAAACTCAATAAATACGTATGGTCTGATAATATAGATGATAAAACATCTGCATTAAAACTAACACTTGGAAACACTGTGAAAATACTCTTTTCAGTCAAAGGTTCAACAGGTTGCATTTTACAAAAACATGGTAAAGAAGTGATTGGGTCCTTTAATAAAGTTCTTCTAGCTGTTTTTTGTTCAAGTCGATCAAAACCATATTTATTGATGGATTAAGGTTCATAATAGTTGGCATTTTATCAACAAAATGATCAGAGCATACTCAACAATACACTTTCTTTTTTCCTTCTCTTCTAAGCAGACTAATCCAGTGTTCTCTATTTAAACTATTTCTTTTTAAACTTGGAAAACAATACATTCGGAATGGTAACTTGCATCCACATTCGGATAGTATCTTCCTTTCGTGTTGAAAACACGTTTTATTTTTCAATTTTTCGAGCTTATAGGAACTATTGATACATCCTATTACAGCACAATTAACTTTCATCTTGAATATTATAATACTAATTTGCAAGTGAGAAAATAAATATTTACCCTACTAAATTCGTTCCAGGACATTTTTATTAGCGCGATACTAATAATGGCAGAACCAAGCTCGAACTGGTGTATTAATTACTATAATTTCGACACGCATAAATTATTACCTTTTTTAAAATACATTTTATTTCTTTTTTCAATTATACTTTAATATTAGTTTATAATAAAGTTTTTTAGATGCTTCTATAACCTTGTGTATTATGAAATCATTTCCTTTAAAAACCTTAGATCTACATCGACACTTGTTAGGTTTATAACGTCAGCGTCGACAATTCAGAAAAAAATCAGAAGTTATTCATCGATATCTTGATAATCAACTTCGATATCGTTAGTCTAAGACACAAAAAAAAAACATTTTTTTTTTGCCTTTTTTAACACTCGCTTAATAATAGGTGAAAAGACAAATACCTGTTTTGATAAAAACTTTACAACAGATTGTCGCTGAAAATTAAGTATGTCGGGTGCACTGGCTTTCGCTAACTGAAGACATTGAAAGTACTAGAAAAAAATTCATTAAAATTACGCATCAAATTAGAGAGAAAAATGTTTATAAATATCGAACTCTACAATAATTCTTATTACGAAGAGATTCTGTTACTTAAAACAAGACTGGTAAAAAACAAAACAAAAACGATAACAACACCTGCTCAACGGTGAATAACCCTGATGTAAATATCGAGACAATGTCTAGATTTTTTGATTCGAAAGCAAACGTTAACACACACTTGCAATCCTATAAAAAAAAATCATTGTGAGAGTATACGAAGCCATTCATAAGAAGTTTCCTTTTCAAGTAAAAGGAGTCCACTGTTATTCTGTTGTTCATTTGTCTAAAAATCAAGAATAATAAAAATAGTTTAAAATTTATAATAGCTGATTCTTAGCAACAGCTTTATTTTTATTAATTAAGGATTTATTAATCTTATTAACGATAACTTTTTAAAAATAACATAAACATTTTATCCTTTTTTATTTTTTTTATATAGTTTGAAAAAAATAAAAAATAATTTTTTTTTTCTATTTCTGGATCTAGACACGATTTTAGCAATTTTGACGCGTATGAGCGATACGGAACCCCCAACTTTCTATAATAATTTGTATGCCTGATATGAGTGAAGGAACATGTAAAGTATTATCAACATAAAGTATTATTAACATCATTTAAAAGCAAGCTGTGGCGCAGTAATTAGAGTTCTGGCTCAGAACCAAGTGGTTAGATGCCAGCTCTTGCCCCAAATGAACATTGGTAAGGAAGGAGGCATTATCGTATCAGCGGATCATTAATCAAAAAGAACTTTCGGATTATTGCTCCTATGTGGTGCTCTGTGATAGGTCTTGTGACACAATAATAACTAATTCAACAAAAAATTAAAAAAAGAACTTTTAAAAATTGTTATTTTTATTGTTTACAACACACACACACACACACAGATATATATATATATATATAATATATATATATATATATATATATATATATATATATATATATATATATATATATATATATATATATATATATATATATATATATATATAAACAGAACAAAAAAAAAAAAAAAGAAACATTGTTTGAACATTATCATCCAACTACTTCAATTATAATCATCACGTGACGATAATTGAACATTATCATCATCTACTTAACGATAATTGAATGCAATGTATATTATTTTTCACAATTTTCTTTTTATTCAAATGCATATTTAAATTTTTGGTATATAATTCTTTAAATTGATTTAATTATATTTAGATAAGTCAATTATTCTCAGGTGCCTAACACATGGGAGTGGACGTTTCATTAATTTTCGGAAAAATTCTCCCTCTTCCTCCCGTTAAACGTTATATGGCAAAGTGGAAGAGCAATGAGTGAAAGTCTTGTAAGCCTGGATCAGACAGAAAACCAAAAATTATGACTGTTAGGAACAACAATCGCCTAAAAGGTCTTTTGAACAACCGGCCTGGAACTTCAACAAGAATTGTAAATAAATTCAAGTGTGATCATTCCTACATTGTAAAAACATTAAAAAAAAAAAAAAAAAAAAAACATTTATTTTATGAAAAAAACAAATCCCTGATCACACTGATAAACAGTTAAAGCAGTTGCAACTGAAGTGTGGAAGTGTAAAGTGTTACGGTTTCTGAATTTGTCACAAATTCAGAAACCTTGACTTTGTCATTGACGATGAGTCTTATTTTACATTTAAACATACAAATAAAAATTCTTATGCTGGATTTTTTTCAAATGAAGTAAAAAATGCACCAAAAATGTAAAATATAAGCGCAAAAGCAAATTTGAAAAAAAATATTCTTGAGTGGATTACCATAGTGGATCTCCTCGTGGAATCTCAAAACCATTTATTGTTTCAGCGAGAATGGCAATTAACTAAACAGTGTACAAAAATAATTGCCTCATCAAAAGATTGGTTCCTTTTATCAACAAACATCACAGTGATGGTAATTATTTGTTCTGGCCTGACTTGGCCTTTTCACATTATGCTAGAAGTGTGACCAATTACCTCGATGAGAAAAATATCCATTATGTAACAAAAGTTGATAATCCGGCATGTGTCCCAGAACTACGACCAATAGAAAATTTCTGGTCAATCCTTAAATGCTACATGTACGAAAACAATTGGGAAACTGAAAACAAAGATCAACTGCGAAAAAGAATCCATTCTTGGCAAACAAACCATTTAATTTATAAAAAATACTTTTGTGTAACGCGGCCTCAAATTGGAATTGAATTAGAGAACCGGGATGATAATGATTCAATCAGAAACGCTTTTCAGGATCTGTACCAATAAATGGACTATGTTTTAAAAAAAAAAACCATCCAACCTTTATTAGACCCTTTCCCTTGTTTATTAGATCTGGACAAAAATTTCCACCTCATCTTTGACATTGTATTAAGTTAGGTGACTAAGAGTATACCCTTTTTTTCAGTCTCAAATAATTTTTTATTATTTTGAGCATTGAAAGTGAACTTTCTGTGGTCACGACAGAAACTTGTGTTAGAATTTTTTGTGGTCACGACACAAACTTGTGTTAGGACTGAACTATTAACTTGTTGGTGGTTATATAATTTAGAGCTTCATGAAATTGATGGAAAAGAAAGAGAAAGAAAGAGTTTGAAATCATTCATATACTGATGTGATTACTCTTAGAAATTGAAAAAAACAACCAACATTGACTTTCAATGTTTTGTTCCATGTTGGTTCATTGTCACCTTCATAATCAACTGTTTTTTTTTTGTTTAGTTAATTTTGGTTCCTTACAGATTAGGATATCTTTATCATTGACCAATAAATTTTATTTTCATTGGAACAATGATCTTTTAACACAGTGCAACATCAAAATCATTTATTCACAATGTTTACTTTAAAATACTCATTATTTATTAAAAATGTTTACTTTAAAATACTCATCATTTATTCACAACTTTTAAATATTATACAAATGACGAAACTCTTGAAATTTTTAATTTAAATTTTTTACCAAGTATAAGTATAAGTTACTAGATTAAAGAAACTGTGATCATTTTAAACCTTTTGTGTGTGTATATATATATATATATATATATATATATATGCTTTAGATATATATAGCACAAAGAACTCCAAACTTATTAAAAATAATATCTTCACTACAACCTGAACTTAACGCATTAATTTTTTAAATAAGTTGTTAATAATATTGAAACAAAAATATGTTGTTAAACAGAATGATAAAATATAAAACGTATGATATGAAATAAATTTTTAACTTTGATTGGAATGTCAATCATACGCCTTTTTAATTGTTAGAATATAATTGTAATTATATGAAAAAAGATTTTGATAGTATGTGCCAATGCATAAATTTTTTTTTTTTTAAAGCGCACTAAAATACTATTAAGAAATCATAAAGTTACTACAAAACTTTTTATTAAGTTTTTAACAACCATAATTTTAGTTCAAAAATTACCTGTTTTAATATGTTTACATTAATAAGGTCTTGTATACTCTATTTTTATGCCATATATACGGTTATATTCTAAAAAATACATATTTTGAGGGTAATCCAATAAATAAACTCATTTTTCATAAGACTCATTTCAAACTAATTTCAAGGGATTAAAACACAAGCAAAACAAACAAAAAAAAATTTAAATGCTCTGAAAAAGATTGTCAGTGAAAAGTTCTTCTCAGCAAAAAACTGCTTGACACTGGTGATAATTCATCTCCACTTCATAAGAAAAAGAAATGTAAATGAAAACAATCAAACCAATTTCTACAAAGTTGTGGTCAGCAAACGCAAATATTATCCTTAAAAAACTTACTAAAATTTTCATATTATTTGTCAGTGGCAGGGTATGAGGAATTCGCAATCATTTTCTACCATCAAACGATGAAAATGTTTTTATCATTTATTACTATCTATAGACTTTAGGTATCAAATTTGCTCATTGTTTGTTAAAATAACAAATAAAAAAAAAAATAGTTATAATCTGTTTTTATACGTTTCTTTCGTTACAATACTATTTGGCTAAATAGTTAAGAATATTCAGCCAAATACTAAAATAAAAGTACTAGAAGAACTACATCAAATATGACATCTTTAATATATATCCTTCCTTCAACTTGATTCCCTCTTTGATTATTTACTTGTAATTAGCTGATTGACATGGAGTCGGGGTGTCAATGCCTTCACAAGTCAATTGCTTGCATATGTTAGCAGCTTTGTTTGTTGATACTCTTGTTAAGGTCACCGAGTTGAATGCAATTTTACTTTTATGATGTTTTCTGATTGGTATAGGAGTTGTCTTATCTTCTTCATTCATATTCACTGTCATCAGCCTCAGAGTCAGAATCACTAAAACCAGGATAATAACATGATGATTTGGATGACTCATTAGAAAGTTTTTGTCTTTTAGAGGGATGGATCATTTCTTTACTGGCCGCTAGGCCTGTAGAGTATCCCACTGTTCTCTTGCTTTCCACTTGGAGATGGTATAACTGCTTGTCCTTGGAAGATAACCATGTTCCATTCAATTTAGTAAAATCAAAAATTTCATCAAGGGGTTCTTGCTCTTCTGAATGCTACTATTGCTAGGCTTGTACAACGCCAAGTGTTGCTTCTGTAATAACTATAAAATTAGATGAGCAGCTATATATAGTCTAAAATGTTTTAGAATATTCCAGAATATTCTAAATTGTTCTAGAATGTTCCGAAATATGTTAAATTGTTCTAGAATGTTCTATATTGTTCCAGAATGTTTTAAATTGTTCTAGAATGTTCTAAAATATTCTTTTATTTTCCAAAATGTTCTAAAGTTCTAAACATTTCTATTCAAGTTTTGAATGATTTGCAGGAAAGCCACACATATTAGTAGTAGCAGTAACAAGATTAAATAAATAATGAACAAGATTAAATAAATAATAATTTGAATTGCGAGGTGACCTTTTTTTTTACAATCGAGAGGAATTTAACATGTTTTCAATGTTTTCTAATAAAGTTTCATCGATTTATAAAAACAGGAAATTAAATTTATTTTAAAAAGTCAAAAAGTCATAACCCTAATATACATATACATATATCTTTTTTTGACGACCTGATTCTGAACTCAATTTTGGTACAAAGGTCTTATCATAAAATGCCAAATCAAAACCCTAATCAGAGGGTTGTTTATATATTATATATATATCTTTATATATAGATACATAATTGATATAAATAAATTTAACTTGTTTCATTCTGAATGAAAATAAATTTTTTTAAACTTCAGAACTACATTTTACCTGTATTTCAGCAATGGTAGGATCAACAAGATATTCATCATTATTAGTGACAGCACAACAAACTGAAACAATCATGTTTCGCATAGGTAAACCAGCATGTACCAAAGATAAGCAGGCAGCATTAATTAAACAAGATAAAAGCTATGTAAAAGTCAAGGTAATACACATATTCACTTTTTTTATATATTTATTTTGTAAATTTAAGCTTATTTCAATTTGAAAGCCAATATTTACACACATTTTTATAATATCTTATATATTCAAATTTTATTGAGCTGTAGACCAGATTTTTTATGCATTACTATTAAACCATCATTACAATAAAGGTCTAATTCATTAATATTGATTATTTTACTTAAGATATTTCACAATTCACAAATTTCAGCTAAATCATAATTGCCCATTACACACAACTAGTGTTGAAAATTTCCGCAAAATTTCCGGAAATTTTCAACCCTAATAGTTTGCGGAACAAGTATCAGAACAAACTATTAATTTGTTTATTTCTGTTACTTGTTCCGCAAAATATCATGGTTGAAAATTTTCGGAAATTTTGCGGAAATTTTCAACACTACAAACAACGAATTAATCAAGTATGTTTTATTTTTTCCATGTTTCTCTATAAAGTTTTTTCTGCAATACTTTATTACACAAATTGTTTCTCCTGTAATAACTGTGTGGTTTTTTACTAATTCAATTGTTTTATTTAAAATATCTGCAGTTATTAAGGGGTAAATATCATGTCAAATTGAATAAATATAAACACTTTTTTATTTTTAATTAGTTGAACCAATTTACAACATCATTGGTTTTTTTCTATTGTTGTAAATTTAATTTACTTCTAAGAATATTATTATTTTGTCCAATTTAATTTTGCTAACATGTCCAATCTCAGTTTTTGAGGGAATTAATAATCTACCCAATAATTAATTGCATTTTCTAAATTTTAAATTAGTAAGATTTTTTCATAGTTTTCTGTTGTGAATATGTTTTTTTGTTTGTTTTTATTTCAATTCACCCCCCCCCCCCACACACACACACACCCAAGACTATGAAGGTCACTGCAGCTCTTGTAGATCCAACTCCCAGATTGAAACGGAAAAAAAAATTCAAAGACGAATTTGATTACAATTTTGACATGCTAATACTCTTGAAATGATTATAATAAAAAAAAATCATTTTTTATTGAGAGAAGGGTAGAAGGGCTTCATGGTGGGAGAAGACAAAAAATTGGCAATACAACGGCAATACAGCAACAGAAAAAAATTAAGTTAGAACATTGACAAAAAAAAAACAGAAAGAAGAAAGCAAAATGTTATCTGCAATTGTAGAATTAGCACCATCAAGCAGTAGTAGCAGCAGTAAAGATGAAGAACTTGCGAATGCAGTTAAAGTCAAAGTACAAATAGAACACTGCAGTGCAAACAAAAAAAGGAAAATTATTAATACTCAAGATGTAGCTGCTGCACTTGATCGAGTTTGAGTAATCGAAAAGCAGTCTATATCCTATTAATAACAGCATTGAGTCCCAGCATTATTTAGAAGAGATTTCTATAAATTGTAGCAGCATAAGACGACAACAAATGGTCATAAGAAAACAAATAGCAGCAGAAACCAAGGAAAGTTTCAACCCAGATATTCTACTAACGGCTCACTCGGATGGGACACTTTTACCAGAGTTGACAGGAACTGGAAAAGTTAATAGATTGCATATAATTATTTTAGGGAAAGGTGTTACCAAACTCCTCATATTATGCAAATTGTTGCAGAAAAAGTTTTTGCTGTTTGGAAGTGTGTTAATCAAACCCATTTTAAAGTCATGGATGATGCTATCAAAGTAACGATCGTGATGAAACCATTTCATTTTGTTGGTGTTGGGAGTTGATGGAACTCACAATAATTTACCTTGGTGATATTCCTTCTCACAGTATTTATTTCATGCAACCTGGAGCACTACATCTTGCAAGGTGGATGGCTTGTGTGATATATGCAATCAAGATGGTCTATTTTGAAATCAATTTCATATCTAAACAAGAGCAGAATGGCATTAAGAGATATTTGGTATTTGCGGTCATTATTTACGTGCGTTCCTGGTTCACAGATCCTTGGGTGTTGAAGCACTAACCAATGATCTGGAGTTTTCCTATCATGTAGAAAGATACAAAGACAGAACAAGATTAAAACAGCATTTTCCAGACAATTGTGGTACATCAGTGAACTGATGGTATCACTTGTATTCTTTGATCCAGATACTTGTTTATCTGAAAAGCATAATATGAACAAGGTCCTAGAGATTGCAGGATCAGAACTTACCTCAAAACTAATCATGTTAGATTTCACAAAAGTTTAAAAAAAAGTCCTTGACTAGCTTTATCACTTCATCGTCTCATTGCTTTATTAAAACTCTTGGCTTTTTGGATCTTCTATCGAAAACAGAGTTTTTGACAGAAGATCCAAAAGAATGGAGCCTTCGAGAAGATTATGAGTGCCTAAAGTTTTGTTGAGTTGTTAAAAGTGGTGAATGATTATGCAGAGCGAGGAGTTGCCCTGATGCAAAATTCATCCTTACAAAGAATGAAGACCAAAAGCAACTTTTGCTACAGATAGTAGAAGAACATCAGCAAAAATATTCAAATGCTCTGAAAAAGATAGAAAACTGTATCAATATAAACTGTTGAACGCAATTTTATCAAATTTGAAATTATATTTTTAGAGTTGTTATTATTTTTAACTGGATATTCAACCAATGATTATCACGTCATTGCTCAAAGGACAAATTAATTGACAAAAATTGCTATAAACAAACTAATTATATATATTAACAATACATATCATAGACATTAACTTTTTATAAGCTCACAAACTAAAGTTTATAAAAGTTTTATAAAAAAAAAAAAGTTAGCAAGAACAAACTAGGAAAGTTTAAAGTAAAGTACTATGATGATAAATTATTAGAAATGCAAAATCAAATTAACAAACTAGAATCAAAGAATCAAAACTTAAGAAAAAGAGTGGAAACTCTTGAGATCAAAACAGTATTATTCAGTAATTAATTAATCCTATTAAAAATCCAGATAAACTAGAAACTAACATACTTAACAAAATTAAAATTGAAAATAAGCAAGTTAAAAAAAGGGAACAAAATATACTTATATTTGGAACAAAAGGTATACAAGGAAAAGACAACAAAAATGTTGTAGATGATATTCTTCATGAAATTGGAGCTAATGTAAAAATAGCTTGTATAAGAAGGTTTAAAAATCAGATGCAAATAAGACTACACCAATTTTAGTAGAACGTCTCTCAAAGGGAAAAATGGAAGTATTGAAAAAATATAAAAATTTAAGAAATTCTAAATTCATTGGTCCAAATATTCTAAATATTTATTGGTCCAAATATTCTAAATATTCATTGGTATAAACACTTAGAGAGAGAGCACTAAGTAAAGCCTTAAAAGAGAAAAGAAACAAACAATGATTTGAAAAAACAAAAAAAAAAGTAGTTGATAGGTCAAGCATAAACTGCTACATCTAATTCGCATAAAAAAATTTATTCACTACATCTAAATCAACAAATCTAAATGACATCAAGTAAACTGAATTTAATGTACACCAATGCTTGTTGTTTGGACATCAAAATGTAAGAGTTTAGCATGCATAAAGTCAGGAAAAATAGACATTGCTTTGATAACTGAAACTTAACAGAAACTTCTATAGCTGCAATAGATAACAAATATTTATAAAAGACAGAAAAAGTAGAGGAGGTGGAGTGGTGGAGAGATTTATATCAGAACTAATATAAACTAATAAGCGATACAGAAATTGAACAAATATGAACAATATTAACTTTACTCTCATATCTTTTTGTAGGGTTAAGCAAGCATCTTGAGGTTTTTTGTATCAGTTAGTGTTACTCAACCTCTTTCCAGCCATATACAGAAAGTACTATGCTTCATATGGCTTCACTTATATATTATCAATATCTTGAGACCACTTTACTAAAGAAATTTGCCGCAGACACGTTTTTTTAAAGGTAGCTTTTGGAGGTAAGATTTTCCAAGTATTAAAACACATCCAATTCGCATGAAAGTTTCTATATAGATTTAAAAAAGGATGATAAATCCAATGAAAAGGGGAACCTTATACAAAAATTTTTAGTTCTCATGTTTAAAAACTTTAGGGTCAATATAGTTTAAAAAAAAAACTCTTTTTAAAAAGGTTCCCTGTCCAAAAGGCAAGTATAGCTTTTCCTCTCTTTAAATCAGGTATTTATTTATGTTTTCTTGAAGATTTGATGCTTAGGAATTTAGTCTTAAAATTGTGTATGCTTTTTGCATTATATGCTTTTTTTTTTTTGTGCTAGTTTAAAGATGTGAATAAGAAGTTTTCTTATTTTGAATAACAAACAAAAATAATGGAAAGAACTAAAATTTTTAATAAGGATTAATAAGGATATATAAAGATTAATTTAAGGATGTGAATAATTAATTTAAGGACCTAAAATTAATTATTCACACCCTTAAATTAGTTCATATATATAGCCTTATTATTCCTTGTTAAGGCTTAATAAGGATTAATAAGGATATATAAGGATAAATCTCACTTTTAATTTCATATTTAAAATTCGAATAAGGACCTAATTAAATTCTAAATATGAAATTAAAAATAAAATTTTTAAAATGTTAATAAATTAAAAACTGTAAGTTTGGTTATAGGCTATAATCTATCTATTCAATAGACTATTGTGATTACAGATTGGCCTTCTTTAAACTGTTTTTTTTTCAAAACAAAAAACCATATCAACTTCAAAGGTTCAAAAGTGAACAAAAATGGAATGGTGTAAGCACTTATCTTTCATAAGTTATAGTACAATTTTGAATTTACTAGGCCTATTTTCCTTAATTTTTAACATAAACACAAAATATTTTGTATTTTAATACTTTTATTTATTGAAAACAAATTTTATTGATCCATCCCTTGTTTTCTTTGTTTTAAGTTACTTTTATGTAGGTTTACTTTCAATTTTAGCTTGCTGGAAAAACCATTTGATACTGCCAAGAATATATTGGAATTTTTAAATATTGAAGGTGGTATTGTTTCCCTCAAACACCCGACTTTTGTATCAAGAAATTTTACAAGTTT